CTTGACCAGGCAAATCAAAAGACGATCCATTTAATTACTTAGCATAAAGTGTGTATTATTCAGTAAATTAAAGGTTTATCAACACTTGTTGCGTTCTTTCACATAAGTCGCATTCACTTGTTGTAATATTATTAGGGAGCGAAGGTGTTATGTACCAATAAAGCCATCAAAAGTAATCTAAATTATATATATTTATTAAATTTTCACAATAGGTGATATTTTGAAACCTGCTTTATGCATACGAACCTCTAAAACACATACAATATTTGTAAAGTAAAAATCCACACCAATTTTTACAAAATATTGATTATCTCAGAACTACATTTTTGTAACTTAACACCTTCATCCACTGGGCTCTTCAATTGTTAAAAAAAAAAAAAATTATTTATAGATAAATATATTTTTTTTTCATTTTCCATGGGAGATGTAATAATATAAGTACTTTTATGTATTATCATACTGTATATAATTTTTGTAGTTGTTATAGTTCTTTGAACTTGGATATAATTAGGTTAAGGAATGTATTTTATCATTTAATATTATATTTTATAATGTGTTGATTCGACACTTATTTCGACGACATAACAATTGTGTAGGTTCGTTGAAATAAGTGATCGAAGAATAGATTATTCAATAAATAACTTTCGTATAATCGAGTTGATTTTTATTTGCTATTAATAATACATGGTGACGTAAAACATCCAAAGACTAGTACCATCACAGTAGCCATGAACATAAAACCCTTCGAGAAAACCTCGAACCGATACATGAACAGGATTGCTCGCTTGCCACAATTGTTCAGGCCTTAGAAAGAAAGTACACAACTGGCCTTTTACTTTTAAAAACAAACAGAAACATGAAATTATCTTAACAACGTCGTGGATGGGTGACTGCTGGGAGGTTCCACCATGGGCCGTGTCACAATGGGATTCATCCGACTAGCGTTTAACCATCGACGACGTGGAATGAATGGGAATGAATGAGGGTGTGAATGGGAAAGTAGTAGGACCTTCAAATGGTGGTACAATAAGCCGTATGCTGCAGTGCTGCCAGACTACAGACGGATTAGGGTGTAGCACGGAAGGTCTGAAGGGTGTAAAACTAAAAAAAAAATCCCTTTATAATCGATTATTCCATTACCTAAAAAAACTAAAACAATTTATTGAAAATGTTCGATTATTCAAAAATAATCGATTAAAAATAATCGATTAATTATAACGGATAAATCGATTTTCATGAAAACGATAAATCGATTATTTTTGTAATTCCTATCGGTCACATGCTTTTATCCGAGCACTTAGCTCTAAAATTTAGAGATTCGGATTTATTGATCCTGTTATCTTTGAAACCGCATTCGATTGTATAATAAATATTGCTAGAATTTAGATTTTTTTTTAGTAAACGAAAATTTTTTGTTGTTTAGGGGTTTATAATGTAACATTTTACTAATAATATGACTAATTTTCGTAACTTTAGTATTTTTTTGCTTATACTAGAACTAGATCACATTGCGCGTTTTACTTTGTTTTAAGACTTAAGATTCAAATGTCACACCGATTTAACCTCAAATAAAATAAACCTTGAAATTTTAAGTAGGTGAACTTGTATTTCATCTAATATTCTTGTAAAAATAACTAATAAGGGCTAAAAACCACCTTTAGTAAATATTCTTATAAAACTACTTTTCAAAAACAAAATTTCGTTAGTACCAATGCCTATTTACTTCTTATTTAGAATAAATGTTTAAAATTTTACTCTTTTGTAAATTAATGTATTATGAAATCTATTTTCTGAAATATTATGTATTTGATGCTTAATATTTATTGAAACCCCTTAATGTGAATCTGAAGTATTCAGTTCAAAGAATCATGGCACAGAAGAAAGAACAATACAGAAAAGAAAGTAATGGTCGGAACTTTGAAGTTGAAGGGATAAAAATATTTGACCTTGAGTTCCGCCACAGAGATACTCTGAGAAAACGTAACTATTCACAGTACACGCAAACGTAGCTATTCACTGAACCTACACTGCGAAAACTACATTTCTTTTTTACATAATTATGTGTCATATTTTATGAAAATTTGCATGAATGAATTTTAAACTATTCTTGATTTAAGTAAAATATTTTTCAATTTGTAGCACTTCCGACAGAGGTTTCAAGCTCCTAGACATAGAAGGAGCTTTTGACAACACGCCACACAAATCTGTAAAAAGAGCACTTGCATATAGAGGAGTAGATAACATCACATCCAGATGGATGGCTCAGCTGTTATCTTCGAGAACTGCAGAGACACAGATAGGGCAGGACACCATCTCCATCTGCACAACCAGAGGATGTCCACAAGGAGGAGTTCTATCCCCACTAATGTGGAGCCTAATCGTAGACGAACTTCTATGCAGATTGACTGACCTCGGCATACCCTGTCAAGGTTAAGCCGACGACATAGTCATATTTGCTAGTGGCAAGTTTAGTAATATCCTGTGTGATATAGTCCAAAGAGGACTAGAACATACCAAAAGATGGTGCCGTGAAGTGGGACTTAGTATAAACCCTACAAAAACAACACTAGTAGCCTTTTCAAGGAAAAGAAAACTTAATCTCAAAACCGTTAAATTAGACGGGATAGATATAGAATGGAAAAATGAAGTCAAATATCTAGGCCTTAACCCTGGACAACAAACTTCTCTGGAACACACATGAGAAGGAAGTAGTAAATAAGGCCACAAAAGCCCTAATGGTATGCAGAAACATGGCGGGTAAACGATGGGGATGTAACCCAAACATACTGCGATGGATGTATACTGCAATAGTGAGACCAATCATCACTTACGGGGCTATAGCCTGGAGTAACAGAACTAGTTTAGTTACTACGAGAGCTAATATCTCAAAAGTACAAAGACTAGCCTGTGTTTGCATTACTGGTGCAATGAGAACCTGTCCTACGGCCGCAATGGAGGTGATCTTAAACCTCACCCCTCTACATTTGATGATAGAGAATGTGGCAAAAAGGACACGATATAGAATGATCAGGAGCGGAGTAATCAGACGAAAGTCTACTTGCTTCAGGACTAAAGATACCTGGGGCATGCCCCAGGATGAAATGCAAAAGAAGTACAGTTTTGTGAAAAACTTCAAAACGACAGAGCTGGGCTGCAAGAAAGAATGGAGCCAAGAATCCATCGCGCTTGCAACCGAAAGACGTGCTATTCAGTGGTACACGGACGGTTCCAAAACCATAGAAGGAACTGGAATAGGAGTGTATGGGCCGAGAACCAAGCACTCCGAAAGCTTGGGAAAATACCCAAGCATCTTCCAGGCGGAAATTCACGCCATCGAGAAGTGTATCCAGTTTAACATCGAGAGAAACTATCATAGACAAGAGATTATCATCATGTCCGATAGTCAAGCAGCCATCAAAGCGCTGAGTTCTTACGTAATCAGCTCAAAAATGGTATGGAGATGCCTAGAACAATTAATGAGCTAGGCAAGAAAAATAGAGTTACTCTCACTTGGGTCCCGGGACATAACGGGGTACAGGGTAACGAGATTGCAGATAGTCTTGCAAGGAAAGGGTCTCAAACACCCTTTGTAGGACCTGAGCCGTTCTGCGGTATCAGCAGTAACATAATATTAGAAGAGATTAAAAAAGAATTGGGTAGTAGAAGAACCGATAATTGGAACAATCTCTTGGGGCTGAGACAGGCCAAGATACTTCTGGGTGAATATAATCAAAAAACATCGGAAGCCTGCATCTGCCTGAGCAAGAACAGGCTACGTATTGTAACAGGGATCCTTACCGGGCACTGCCGACTAAAAGGACACCTAAGTAAACTGAGAGTAGTAGAGGATAGTGAGTGCAGATTCTGTGAGGAGGAAGACGAAACCTCCATTCACATCCTAACTGAATGTGTAGCACTCCAGAATCCAAGGGCACTATATCTAGGAGGATATCAAATAGAAGAGGGAGACTTACCTAACTTGAAGCCACTTCAAATCCTACACTTCCTTGAGAAAATAGGATTGGAAGGGTCGCTATAGGCATTGAGACATTTCCTTAGTGCAGTGGCGACAGAAGGGGGTACAATAGATCTTTTAGGTCGCAGTGTATTAACACCCCATTATCAACATAACATAACATATTTAACATATCAAAAATTCAGACATTTTGACGGTCTCCCGTTTGCATAAGAAAAGTGCGTGGTCCTTTAGAGATTCAGATTTATTGATCCTGTTATCTTTGAAACCGCATTCGATTGTATAATAAATATTGCTAGAATTCAGATTTTAGTAAACGAAAATTTTTTTCAAGTTGTTTAGGGGTTTATAATG